TGTGAAGCTAGTTCAAATGATTCAGCAAGAACAATAACATTTTGAAAAATGAAGTATGTTTTAAAATTTATTAGTTTTATATACGAAATAAGGTAGGTAATACAGAAATCAACAAAGCACTAGAATGTACTTCGAGCTCTCTAAATTTTAAGATTTCAGTGAATAAATAAAGATGTAATAACATTCCAGGTGAAGCTCTGAGGGAAGAGCATTTTGGGGCAGGAAGCAGCATGGGCAAAGGCATATGACAGGGTTTGAATAAGGAATGGAAAGATAATGTGGCAGGGAGCCCAGAGAGGGAGAAAATATGGCCAATTACTTGATTAACATTTGAAACTAGTCTAAATCTATCTAAAAATCAGTCCTCCTTTAGGTGTTTGGGTTATTTTTGTGTTTTTTGTTTTGTTTTGTTTTTTTGTTTTGTGATGCTTTGCTTAAACCCACAGTGCCTAGCATGCACTCTGCCTAAAGGCTACATCCTCCAACCCCTGGGAAGTTCTTAAAGACTCACTAAAACAGCAACTGACACACACACAAAAATTCAAACAAAAGCAAAGAAAAACAAGTGTGTCTTCAACTGAAGTCCTATCATTATAATAAAGATTAAACTTTTGACTCCTTGTTGACAATTCCTGTAAGCAAATGACTACTGCACCTCACAAGCTCCTAAAACATTCTTACCATTTATATATGCTCCTAAATTTACACAAAGGTGCTCAGAATTTATTTTACACTCTTGTGATGGACAATTTCTGTTTTCAAATTACTTTTGCTGTAAATACCCTGAGGCATTTTTTGCTATAATAGCAGACTCTTACTCTTCATGTTAAAGACACAAAACAGGAAATTAAACAAAATTAACTCTGCATATTGGCCTAAGAGATTGAATTTCTAGATGTAGGTAAAATTTGTTTTAAGTCTTCTGATTTAAGATGAAGGCTGAAAATGAAATGGTTTTAGGTTTGTGGTCTGGGAGTTGGCTCATCTAACATTTCATCAGTGTTCTCCAGTCATGATCCTTTGCCCAAAGGTTTCATTATGGGGATTTTACATATGTGACTGAAAAAATATAAACTACAAAAGAAGTCATGGGATAACCTACTTTTAAAAAGTTGTTTACTTAAGCTGGGTTGGTGCATGCCTGTAATCCCAGAGACTAAGAAGACTGAGGCAGGAGGATCACAAGTTCCAGGCCAGCCTCAGCAATTTATTAAAACCCTGTCTTGAAATAAAAAAAAAAAAAAAAGGACCCGGGCATGGTGATACACGCCTTTAATTCCAGTGGCTCATGTGGGTGAGGCAGGAGAATCAGGAGTTCAAACACAGCCTCTGCAATGGGGAAAAAACTGAGCAACTCAGTGAGACCCTGTCTCTAAATAAAATGCAAACAGGGCTGGGGATGCGGCTCAGTGGTTGAGTGCCCCTGAGTTCAACCCCTGGTACTCCCCAAAAAATAAAATAAAAAAATAATAAAAAGGGCTGGGATGTAGTTCACTGGTAAAGTGTCCCTGGGTTCAAACTCTCAGTACCAAAAGAAAAAAGAAAAAAAAAAAAGGTTGTTTACTTAAGAAATTAATATAAAACCCAAAGCCTACCAGCTGGTCAATTTTATTTTCTGATTCTATAACCTGTGGCAGTTTTCCTGGCACGTGTGACCTTGGCATTTTGCCCATGTTTACATGGACTGACAGGAGTTTAAGGCTGGAGGGAGTATTTCTTTTACCAGAGATGACAGATGATGCTGGGCCTGATAGATCATGCTGAGTCTGCTCCTCACCTGTATGTACATGTGGTTAATTGCCCAGTCTCTTCCATGTACAATCAACATACTGGCCTGTATGAGCATGAAGAAGTGGCAAGCCAGCTCAGAAACCTCTATTCTATAAACAGTGCTAATAAACTAGTGGAAATTGTGATCCCATTGTCATTTGTACTTTCAACCGTGCCCTCCCTATATATTTAGAAATATTCCTGAAATAAAGCCAATTGTTTGGAAAATTCAATGACATTCTTTGAGATAAATGGATCTCAAAATCATAATAACTAAAAATTGTCACTATAATCAAACTAAAAGCAACTAGGTGCAAAGATATATGTGATGAAACAAAACAAAAAGTTTAAATGGTGGCACTATTTAACATTAGGAAATGAGCTACTGAACAATCTCACATCCTAAAAACTTTTCAAGTATTTCTGAAAAATAACACATGSTTCCTTCAATAACTATTTAGCCTCTTTCAGTCACCAAGCATTTAGCCAGTTATGCTAGATGCTTGGGGAAACAAAGACAATTAGGACACTGCCTGCTTTAGATAAAAGTTCCACAGAAATAATGACAACACAGCCTGAAAACTAAAATCTTGGACTCCAAGGACATATCACTTGCACTTCAGAGCTCCAAAAGGTTCACAGATTGCAAGTGAGAGCACAGAGGTCACCACTCAGATGCTCCAGTTAACAGCAGGCCAAGTGCACCTGTAAACTGCAGTTTGAGAAGCAAATTCAAGACAGGAAAAGTGTTGCCAACTGTCACCCACACCTCCTCAACCCCGCCCCCCAGTCCTCTTATAAATAAACAGAGAGCTTTTGAAGGGAACTGTCCAAGGTTACCACCTGATATGGAAGAATGCTTTCGTGTGTGATACCAATAAAATAAAACAGTGCACACTACCTATTTATTGAGCACTGCAATACAACATTTAAATGTTGACAACGTGTTAAGAATGTTACATAGGACATTTTTAAGATCTCTTTCTCAAATGGATTAAAATGTCAAGAAGCAATTGACCGAAAGAGGGAGATCTCTAACTTCCCAAAGCAGCAGCAACCCCCTGGAAAGGTACTGGAGCCAGCGGAAGTTACATATCAAGACAGAAGTAACCCTCCTCCCAAACGGTAAAAGTTTGAGCCGCCGTCCGACCATCCTACAGTGGTCGGAAACTTCCCTAAACACCAAGGAGCAACCAGACACCCTAAAGACTCCGCCCTTGCCAACCCCAGGTGTCCTCATGCCAGGCTGTCGCTTCCTCTCTGGGCCCTGCCTTCCACCTCACTCCTTTCCTGAACACTCACTGGCCTTGCCCCGGCTTCCAACGCCGGCGAACCTCAGGGACGAGCAAGGCGTCTGGGGTCGGCGCCGGAGGCCTCGCCTCAGGCCCGTCCTCCAGGAGGCCCGGCGCGCCTCACGTCCCCAGGCCGGCCGCGACCCCCGGCCCCGTACCCTAGTAGCCCGCCAGCCCTCACCTCCTCGGCGTGCTTGCGCAGCGCCTTCTCCCGCTCGTACTGGGTGATGAGCTGCTCGTTGTCGTCCCGCAGCAGCTCCAGCTCCACCTGGTGTTCCTGGTCCTGCGCGAACACCGAGTCCAGGTTCTCCAGCACCGCCACCACCAGTGGCATCAGCTCCTTGACCACCTCTTCGTCGTAGCGCCCGATGAGCCGCTCGAACTCGCGGTATATGGAACCGGCCAGGCCGGACACCCGCTCCGACATCACGGCCCCGGAGCCGCCGGGCTCCTCCTGGTACACCACACCGTCCTCCAGCTCCATGGTGGTGGGCAGGCGGGCAGCCCGGGGCGTCGCCGGCTGAGGGACGGCACGGGCCCGCACGGGACGGGCCCGGCTAAGGCTAGGGCAGGGCCAGGCGGGGTGGGGGCCGGGGCTGGAGGAGGGGAGGGGTGGGGTGAGCGCACTCACCCCAACCGCCGCTGCACCAACTGCCGGGGCGGCCCGGCCGCGCGCCCTACACGTCACCCTCGAGGCGTGGCCGACGCCGCGAATGCCCGGTGGGCGGGGCCCCACGGGAGGCCAGGCGCGGCTGGGGGCGGAGCTATGCGTCAGCGTGCGCCGGTGGAGGAAGGCCGTGGCGTCACTACCCAGCGCCAAGCTACCGGTGCGACGCCCACGGGAAGCGTTGAGAACCGAGGCAGGATTTGCAAGGCCATCCCAAAGGAAAGGGAGGGGTTCTGAAAGAGAGACTAGCCCACCAGGACAAACGTAGCTAACATTTCTATTGCTTTTTCATAGTTCCCAGGCGCTTTCTCAATTAAACATCACAACCGGCGAAGTGCTTGAGATGTTTGGCCTCCTTTTTACAGACAAAGAAAGTAGGCCCAGAAAAGTTGTGGTTCACTCAAGGTTACGTAGCTAGGAAAGAGGCCGAGCCGGGACTTGAAACTAGTTCTAATTGGGAATTCCGGACTCAGAAAAGTGGGGGTGGGGGGGGGGAAGCAAATAGAAGAGTCTACCAAGTGATAATGTGCTCTCAAGTAGGGTAGTACTGTTTGGGGTAGGGAAGAGTAAGGATAACCTAAAACAGGAAATGCAAAGAATTCCGGAGAAGGGTAAAACTGAAACTCCACATCTTGCATTTTCCCAAACATGGTTTCTCTGCTCCGGCCAACTTGGGGAGAGGAAATTCTAGGTCTCCAACCACCTTCCTCTTCCCCGGTCTTGAAGCAGTGGGGGCAGTGATGGGGGTGGGGCGGAGCTGGTAATTCAGAGGTTGAGAAGTTAGGGAGGAAAGGGGTGGAGTCAGTGGGAGGGATAAATCTCAAGATTTATGAGATCGCTGCCGCCTGGGAGAGCATCACGTGTAGGGAATGACACAACACCCAAGGCTAGGGCGGGCTGCGTCAAGGATCTTTCCCAGTGTTCTCAGCTGGCATCCGCAAATGGGCCGGAATACACTCATAAAAGCCCTTACTCTACCACAGGTGACTCAGGAGTTCTCTAACCCCAACTTATCCAAGAATAGGAGGAGGGAAGAAAGGATTTAGGTAAACAAGGGATTTGTGGGCATAATATCCTCAATTTGGCATTTACAAATTCAGTTTCTTCCTACCAAAACATAAACTAGTCCCCAAAAGTCTCTCTCTCTTTTTTTTTTTTTTTTGTAGCAGGTGATTGAACCCAAGGGAGACAAACTTGTTTAGTGCCTCTCTAAATTGCTGAGGGTGGCTTTGGACTTGCGATCCTCCTGCCTCTGCCTCTTTTGGAATTATGTATGTGTTCCCCTGTGCCCGGCTAATCTCCCATTCTTGACCCTCTTGGAAACCAATACAAACAGTGTGGAGGTTGGGTGAGAGCCAATGATCGGTTCAGAAGGACAGAGATGAAAATGTAAGTCTTAATGACTGATTTGCACCTGTGCTGTTTTCCTCTCCCTCCTCCCACAGTCATCCTTAGATTGTTTATGTGTCTGGGATATAGGAATGTCAACCACTGGACTGGGTGTGATCCCCAAATGTCCTGTCTCTTCTTAACCTCACTTTTTGCTTTTTGCTTTTTTTGGGGTGGTTTGGTTCTGGGTATTAAGCCCAGGCACACTCTACCACTGCTCTACATCTCCAATCCTTTACATTTTTTTAAGACATGGTCCCACTAAGTTGCCCCAGGCTAGTGTGGAACTTGCTATCCTCCTGCTCCCCAGCCTCCCCAGTCACTGGGATTACAGGCATAGTCCACCATACCAGGATTTGACCTCATGTTTGAAAGCCAGAAAAAGTCTTGCTGAGTTTCTTTTAATTTTCTCTTCTCTTCCTGAGGGCTCTCACTCAAGCAATCTATCTATATAGGTGCTTCTATTTTCCTAGGAGTTAGAAGAGCAGGAAAACTTAAGGCAAGTCCTTATCTTTCCACAATATTATCATGCATATCAGGAAATTTAGAGGAAAAAATGTGTTGATTTTCAGGTATTTGGTTATAATTAAGTCTTCATAAAGTACACTTCTTTAGGTGTAAATTCAACATAGATATGAGATCTATATTTATGTCTTGGTTTTAGGCATCAGTAGCTATCAGTAACCAGTAATTTAATTGCTTAAAATTCAATTCAGCATTGGGAATATATAGCTCAGTGATAGAATTAGCAGTAGCATGTGTAAGGCCCTAGGTTTGATCCCCAACCCTGTAAATTAATTAATTAATTAAATTCAGCTAAATATCCAACTGGCAAATGGATAAATAAAATGTGCTATACGTATGTAATGGAATATCATTCAGCAATAAAAAGTACATATGATAACATGGTGAAACGTCAAAACATGCTAAGTGAAAAGAGCTAGCCACAACAGATCATATATTGTCCCATTTATGTGAAATGTTCAAGAATAGCCAAACTTATAGAGATAGTAAATAAGTGGGGTTGGGAGAGGTTAAAGATAGGCAGAGATCATGAACTGAAATTTAATTTCATGCACATATGAATTTGTCAAGATGAACCCAACTACTGTGTATAACTGTAAAGTGCTAATTTAAACAAAACAAAACAAAAAAACAGCCATGTGCAGTGGTGCATTCTAATAATCCCAGAGGCTGAGGAGGTGGAGGCAGGGGAACGTAAATTCAAAGTCAGCCTCAGCAATTTGGCAGCTCCCTAAGCAACTTGGTGAGACCCTGTCTCAACATAAAAAGGGCTAGGGTTGTGGCTCAGTGGTTAAATGCCTCTGGGTTCAATCCCTAGTACAAAAAAAGAAGAAAAAAAAAAAGAAAGTAAATTAGTGGTTGCTGAGAATCGAGGGACAAGAGAGGGTGGGATGAAGGGAATGGGAATGACTGCTAGTGGAAATCAGCTTKCTTTCTGAGGCAATGAAAATGTTCTAAAATTGATTGAACTGGTGAATACAGTCTAAGACCAAACAACCCTGAATGCGCCTGGTCTTGTCTGAAGTAGTGAATACACAATTCTTGTCAATATACTAAAAGGCATTAAAAACTATACATTAAATGGGGGAACTGTATGGTTTGTAAATTTCATCAAATAAAACTATTTTAAATAAAATTTTAAAAGGGAGCTGGGGATTTATCTCAGTGGTAGAGCACTTGCCTAGCAAACATGAGGCCCTGGGTTCAATCCCTAGCACTGCAATAGGTATATAAACTAACATACAATTTATGGCAGTAATGTCTTCAGAGTAGAGCCAAAGGAAACACAAAACTCCATGTGATAGAGTAGAAAGAAAATGGTTTGAAATTTTGAACCCTGTATTCTAGTATGGACTAGCCATTTTGAACAATTTAAGCCAGGAACAAAAATGTAAATAGTTACTGAGTACCTACTAGGTGCCTATCACTGCAATGAGGACTGTGAGCCTTAATTTCTTTATCTTTACAGTGAAAGAGTTTGTTAGAGAAACTGTCAATGCTTCCTACCATTCTAAAATCTTGATTCTGAAGGTAGGAGTGACAGGATATTGGCCTTAAAATGAGTCCCGATAGTTCCTAATTACGTAGGCTGGTTAAGATTCCCAGCACCCACCTCTAAACCCAAGGACTGAAATTATTAAAGAGAGTTATCAAGGAAAAACAGGTCATATTGTAGACCTTAAGAATGTTTACTTTTGATTGCTAAAGGGAAGGAAATTCCATTTCTAGAGATTTTTTGGCCTTACAAAAATAGTGAGGACAGTAATGGGGGCAGTAGGAGGGAGGAGTTGATGAGGGAAGGAAGGGAGGAGTTTCTTCTAAACACAATAACTATAATCACTGGGAGGGTGAAATTACCAGTCCTGTTGTTTGTTCAGCCTTCTGGAACTGTTAAGAGTTTTGATGTGTGTGTGTGTGTTTGTTTGTGTGTGTTACTGGGGATTGTACTCTGCCTACAGTGAGCTACATCTTCAGCCCTTTTTTATTTTTGGAGACAGCTAAATTGTTGAGGGTCTCACTAAGTTGCTGAGGCTGGTCTCAAACTTGCAAGCCCCCTGCCTCAGTTTCCCCGAGGTGTGTGCCACACCTGCCTTCTTACAGTTATTTCTATATGCATTAGTTTCTTTAGTTTCGCACACTTAAATTTTTCCACCTGGGGAGAGAAACTGCAAAGATAAAAGAGAGGGTTCCAGGGTTAGGGATCTCAAGGCCTTTGTTATGGATGTGTGAAAAGACAAATGATTCATCACTCCTTACAAACTAGAACATCTTTGATGGCAGCCTAGCTCTGGAATGCTCTTGAAGAGTGCCAGAGCATTTTTCTGAGCCCTCAGTTTTTCCTTTGAAAGTCTTTGTTGTGGGGGTGGGGTGGGGGTGCTGCTGCTGCTGCTGCTTCTGGAGATCAGCCTCACACATGATAGGCAAGCACTCTACAACTCAGCTACATCCCTAGCCCCCCAAATGGTTGTGGTGGTGGTGCTGATGATGGTGGTTGTTCTTCTTTCTTTTATTTATTATTATTATTATTATTATTTTAGGGCTGGGGATGTGGCTCAAGTGGTAGTGCGCTCGCCTGGCATGCGTGCGGCCCAGGTTCTATCCTCAGCACCACATACAAACAAAGATGTTGTGTCCGCCGAAAACTGAAAAATAAATATTAAAAAATTCTCTCTCTCTCTCTCTCACTCTCTCTTTAAAAAAAAAAAATTATTATTCTAGGAATTGAACCTAGGAGTGCTTTATTGGTGAGCTACATCCCCAACCCTTTTCATTTTTTATTTTGAGACATGGTCTTGCTAAATTGTTGAGGGTCTCACTGAGTTGCTGAGGCTGGCCTCAAACTTGCAATTCTCCTGCCTCAACTTCCCTAGTTATTGGGATTACTGACATATGCCACCAGACCCTGCTCCTCCCAAACAGTCTTCAAATACATTTCTTTGGAAATTTCATGCAAATTCATTTTAGTCAATAAATTTATTTTCACACATTAAGTAACTATCATGCTTGGAAAGAAATGAAGGTGAGAAAAAACTATCAATTTTTACTAAACACCAATTTTTTGTGTATGATTTGGGGAAAAGGTATTAGTGACCCAAAACAGTACTCCTGAAATCCACCATCTTTGAAAATGCAATGCAATTCAGTCAGCATTTGGTGCCAATTAAGACTGAGTCTTGTGCTAGACCCAAGGTGAAAATGGGAGACCCAAGGTGAAGATGAACCTGGCACCGTCCTTGTCCCCAAGGCAAGCAGTCTAGCAGAGAAAGCAGTTTGGGGAGCACACATGGCTATCAGCATGAAAGTGCAACCATTTAAGCATAAACAAAGTAGAGTGATGGTGAAGTGGAAAGCACAGTTAACTCTGTTGGGAGGGTGTTGAGATGAAGGCCTCCTGCAGGATTTTCCCAAGTTGGAAGGTATCCTAGATAGATGATTGGTTTGAAGGATTACTCAGATCACCATTCAGATAAGCAGAATATATAATTTATTTTATATATTTTAATATATATTTTATATTTTATTTTTAGTTTAGACTAAACCTAAYCTGGCCTAGTTTCTGAGCCCTTACCAAACAGACCTACTTCAAAAGAAAACTTTGTCTAACCAATTATTGAAATGGTTTGTTTAGGTCATATGCAGTCTTTCCTAGACAATAAGCTTTTGTCTGGCCAGGTGAAGTTGGAAGGCAGCCTGAGCAACCTAATGATATCCTGTCTCAAACTTCAAAAAGGGCTGAGCATCCCTGTAATCCTAACTGCTTGGGAAGCTGAGGCAGGAGGATGGCCAATTCAAGGCCAGCCTCAACAAATTAGCGAGGGACTTGGCAACTTAGTGAGACCCTATCTCTTT